CCCCAGGGCATCTGGAGGTCTTGAAGCTGCTGGTGGCTCGGGGGGCAGACCTGGGCTGCAAGGACCGCAAGGGCTATGGGCTGCTCCACACGGCCGCAGCCAGTGGCCAGATCGAAGTGGTGAAGTACCTGCTCCGCCTGGGAGCCGAGGTCAGGGAGACACCAAAGCGCCCAACTTGTCGGTGTGGCTGGGGAGGAGGGAGGGGAGGTGGTGAGGGGCTCTGCCTCACGCTAGTAACAGTGCCCTGTCTTCCCATGAGAGGGCTGAGACAGGCGCCAGCCCGAGTTCTAGCATTCTCTGGGCTCTGTGTGCCGGTTTCCACCGACTGAAACCAACCCAATGCCCGCCCTGTCTCCTCCCCCTCACCCCTTGGCAATGCAGATCGACGAGCCCAACGCCTTCGGAAACACAGCTTTGCACATCGCCTGCTACCTGGGCCAGGACGCCGTGGCCGTCGAGCTGGTGAACGCAGGAGCCAATGTCAACCAGCCGAACGACAAGGGCTTCACGCCGCTGCATGTCGCTGCGGTCTCCACCAACGGCGCGCTCTGCTTGGAGCTGCTGGTCAATAACGGGGCCGATGTCAACTACCAGGTGCCTCTGCGGACCTGATCTCAACCATCCCCACCTGAGAACTCTCTTGGGGAATCGCCCCTCCTGGGGCAAACAGACCTGGCCCCAGCTGAGACCACTCTTTCCCCAGAGCTGGGTCGCTGGGGGGCGCGGCGGCCGGGGGAGGGTATTCCTCTGGGCCTCGAACTGAAAGAGGGAAAAAAATGCCCGATTCCCACAGAGCAAAGAAGGGAAGAGCCCTCTGCACATGGCTGCGATCCACGGCCGCTTCACCCGCTCCCAGATCCTCATCCAGAATGGTATGCACTCTGGAAGCTGTGTGTGTCCCCCACCTCCACCCCCGGGGAGCTCAGCTCTAGAAACCTTCCACCTTCCTCCTATCACCCCCACTCCCTCTTCCAACCTGGAGGGGCACCTGGGTCCCCGTGCAAACGGGCCTGGCCCAGGACCCTCTGGGCTTACAGAGAAGGAGATGC